AATTAAAAGAATATTCAATGCATTATTTTGTGCTTATAAAATGGATCTGAAAATGGGTTATTCTTTTTTTCTTTTATATATAATGTTTGAGTAATTCCTAAATTTTGCAAAAATATTACTGAAAGGAAATTTGAAAATGTACACTGTATGTTAAGAGAGTTTAAAAAGATGCATTAGAATTGATTTTAGTTATAAAGACAAAATTTTTAGAAAAATGTTTAGAGTTTTAAAAATAATATAAAAGTTTTCCCTTTATGATTAAAGAATTAAAGAATTTGAAAGAACAAGGTGAGTTTTGTTAATATAATTGATGATAGTTTAGAAAGATTAATATAGTTATTACTTCCCAGAAAAGGGAGAAAAAGAAAAAAAATATTTTGTTAAAATGGCAACATAAGTTATTTTAAACAAAGAGATTTTATTTGGTCTTATTTCTATTGGGATATTGCTAAATTAAAATTTAGTCGGAAGATTTAAAGAATTGGCTTGTAATAATTATAGGTAACGTAAAAAGCTGAGGTCATACTAGAATTTTATTATGTTGAAAAAAGAGTTGGTGAATACAGTACCTTTTTTATAGTCATGTATTCCCCTTCCTTTTCTTAATCTTTATTTTCATTGTATTTTATGCTATAATGAACCTTAATAAAACTTCAAAAAAAGATTTGGTTTGTAATTATGCCCGTAAGTACCTTGTATGTTGTTGGCAAACAAGTTATGGATCTGTAGTTAGAAATGTCCTACCAGTTGTTAGCTGTTTTACTTACAGATTACTTGATGGAAAAACCCCTTCGCAGTTTTAATGAAGAGAACATCTCTTCATTACATGTTTTACAAGTCTGCAATAGTGGCAAATATCTGTAGTTCGTGTGTAGGATGAGAATAAAGGTTCGTTCTTTGAGCTTGTAGGTTGGCTTCCAAACGTTTTGTTACCAGGCTAGGTAACATCTTCAGCAGAATTAGTGTTGTGGGTGTGTCAAATGATGGTCTTGTGATGGGTCTTATGATGGGTCAGGTGTGAGTCATCAGTGAGAGGCTTGTGATGGGTCTTGTGATGGGGAGGTTACATCAGGTCAAGGTTATTGGGAAGTGACCTGCAGGTGGAGTGGAGGGGGGTTGCATGTGTTGGTTGACACTCGGTGCTGTCTCTGGTTGACTGTGTGGTTGAGGGGTTCATAGGCTGGTTGTAGGTCAATGTGTCTGTTGATGGAATTGCTTGTGGAATGTCAAGCTTCAATGAACTTATGAGCGTGGTGGGTGGTAGCGTGGCCAATGATTTTTGTGTTGTTCTAATCGAACTGGTGCTCTTTGGTGTTGATGTGAGTAGAGATTAAGGATTTGGGTTTATGGGGTTTGACTGCCAGATAGTGTTTGTGGATCCTGGTTGACGACTCAACCCACTCAATAAACTCCCCAGAACAATAGCGGTAAGCTATTAAACTGAATAAAATTTAGTAGACATAACTATGTGTTGCATCTAAAAAAATTTCTAGTTGTCCTTTTACTTCCTAAAGGCTTCTTGAGGCTTCTGAATTGTTCTATTGTCAATAATTCTTTCAGCCCCTTTTTTATTCAATACTATTCTATTAAATCAGTGGTTCTCAACCTTTCTAATGCCGCGACCCCATAATACAGTTCCCCATGTTGTGGTTACCCCGAACCACTTATACATCACCGGGTGCCAGGGGCGTGGCCAAAGAAAAGGGGGAAAAAATAGCGGACAGCCTTGTTTGGCGACCCCCGTGAAATGGTCGTTCGACCCCAAATGGGGTCCCGACCCACAGGTTGAGAACCACTGTATTAAATCAACACACAGGAATTTAGCAGTATAAGTGCATTTGATACATTACAGTTTTATAAAACTACATCAGAATATCTAATTCCCAAAACACAAGATTATGCAATAATTACTTTTATTATGAAAAAACAAAATACCTCCTGAAAAGATGAAGTCCAGCTTCATTTTGTTCCAACACTACTAGAGTTCCACAACCTAAAATTGAAGACAATAAAAAACACTGAAAACAATGGTCTATATAGTATAATATGGACTAAATTAGAGTAAGATTCTTGAGAACTGCTGAACTTTGGGAATCCCTTTCAGAAAACACTGAAGCCTACCTTATAGCCTTGTCAAATTATATCTACTTAACATAGAATTGCTACTCTGGCAGTGCTTTTCTAGGGTATGAGAGGCTTTCATCACTCAGTTTTTAATTCTTTTAACTGAAGCTGGGTCCTATTATATGCAAATTATGTGCTCTATCACAGGGGTCCCCAACCCCTGGTCCATGGACCAGTACCGGGCCGCGGCAAGCCAGGAACCGGGCCGCACAAACAAGCAAAGCCCCATCCGCGAGATGCAGGCAGCACACAAAACAACGCACCCTCCGGTCCGTGGAAAAACTTCTCTCCACGGAGCCGGTCCTTGGCATCCAAAAAGTTGGGGACTTCTGCTCTACCATCTTCTTTTTCCAAAAGTTGTACAGGATACATTGATACTTAATGCTACGCTTGGATGAATTTTATAGTTAATAAGTCTCTAGAGACTACATATAAAAATACATCTCTATAGCATGGATTGTTAAGCAGAATCAGTATTATCTTTTACAGCCTTCAAAATTAGACATTTCAAAAACCATTTTGAAAGTTTGTGAGGGGGAAAGGAAGGAAGAAGCATTTTCAAATAAACATTTGAAAAAGATAATTTTTTGACTTTAGGTACAAAAACATAATTGTCACAATTAACTTCAGATATAGTTTTAAATAATGTAGAGATGACCTTATGGAAGGAATGCTGAACAGTTAAGGTAAAAGAAACAGCAAATGAATCCTGCAAAAATGGAAAGAATGAGAAAGAAAGAAACTCAAAATAAGTCCGCTTTGATTTTATTTCGTGTAAAAAAAGGTAGAGGGAAACTGATAGACTTTCAAGATTCTGCTTTATAACCCACAACAATAAAGTAGCATATCTGGAATTCTTGCAGTATCTGGTCTGCAAGATCCTGGGCTAAAGGAGTGGCATAGATTTAATGACTATCATAAACTGTGTAACTATACTGAATAATTGTATACTTATTCCCTATGTAAAATGGAAATGAAACCTAAGACTCCATAGTTGCATGCAAACCCAAATGTTTCACCTGTAATTCCAGAACTTATTCAAATGTTGTCACCATCACTGGGAGAAAATGATTAAATGTATGACAGGGAACTGCCATATTAACTCCATTTAATTTAATTTTAATTCAATAAAAATGATTTTCTTTCTTTTCATCCTTGTACTGTGCGTCTTTTGGATTGCAACCTCAAGCACACCATTCAAATATGACAGCATGTGGGAATGCTTCTTTCCTGAGGCATTTTTGTTATCTTTGGAAGTTCATTTCCAGGTGCAATACGGATTCTCAATTTACAACCATTCATTTAGTGACCATTCGGAGTTACAACAGAACTGAAAAAAGTGACTTATCATTTTTCACACTTGCGACTGCTGCACCACCTCCATGTTCACGTGATCAAAATTTAGACACTTGGAAAACGACTCATATTATGATGGTTGCAGTGTCTGAAGATCATGGGATTGCCTTTTGCAACCTTGTAACAAGAAAAGTCAATGGGAAAGCCAGATTCACTTAATAACCAGGTTACTACTGCAGTGATTCACTTAACAATTGTGGCAAGAAAGATCATAAAATGGGGCAAAACTCACTTAACAACTGTCTCGCTTAGGAACAGAAATGTTGGGTTGAATTGTGGTTTAGTAGAGGCCTAGCTGTAGTACCAAACATAATTAGACTATAAGGCAAATAACATTTTCGATACTAGATTTGCAAAGAGACATTCAGGTAGTCCTCAACTTTTGACAACAATTGAGCCGCCAAATTTATGTTGCTAATCAATTTCCTCAATCACATCAGACATAAAAAAATTATCAGCCACAATACTATAATGAACCATGCATTTGTTTAGGATGCATATGGACTTTTGCTGACGTTTTCCCACTGAACATGTATCAAAAACTGCTTTATTTCTGCTTTAAAAGAAGGGAACTTTTTTTTTCTTGGAGCTTCTTCATTCCAACTGGGTGTAACCTAAAAGCACACACCCACCAAAGTCTCAGCAGTCTCTTCCCACGTGAGGATTGTGTACAGCACTTATCACGGCTTTTTCACAAGCCCTTCCCCCGATTTTTCGTGATCTCTGAGCTAATCTATTAAAAATGCCGTCCTAAAAAGTGTGCATCATCACACCTGAGGACTCCCAGTTACTGTAATTTTAGCTCACCAATAGCATGTAGCATTCCTGTTCCAGGTAAACTTTTATCAGCTGAGTTAAATGCAATCTAAGCTGCAAAAACCTAGTATTGCAATCTAGGAAGTAAATCCCATGAAACCTAATGGCCAGGAAAGTGACAGTGGCTTCTATCCAAGCGAAGCGCCTCAAACACGCACGCAGATTGGAGCCTATAGTAGCTCTGTCTTTTACAGGACAAGTCTGCTCCACACCGCCTATCATCCTCTCCACCCGCCCTTTGGACGCGACCAAAGAATCTAGGTAGCAGAAGCGCTTAGGTAAGGGGATTGCTGCTGCTGCTGCTGTCACTGCGCACGCGCCACCTGCTGCCGTTTCACCTGCAATCCCGTAGTACTGCGAGGTAGCGCAGGCCAAACGCCCCGGCAGGTACGGCGAAAACTCGACTGCGTAACCGTGGCGGCCGGGCAAGCGGAAGGCCTGCGCCCTCAGGAGCTTCCCTAGCGCCTCGCCGCTGCTGCGGCTCATGGCTTCACCGCCGGCGCTGAGCTCGTCTGGCAGCTGCTCGCGGGCGGCTTCAAAACCACCCGCTCCCTTCCTTGTTTCGCCGCCCCTCTCGTGTGGGCGGGGATGAGGGAAACGGTCGCCGTCACCGCCATGGTTGTTTTGGGCTACAAGCCTTTCTTCCCGAATGCCTTCTTGCGAGTCGGACTTCCGGTCCCAGCTCGCCTTTCTTTGGAATCGCTTCGTGTGCGAGAAGGCGCGCGAGAAGGTTCTCGTCATTCGAGGATTTCTGTTGTAACGCTGATTTGCGGCATTCGTGCCTCTTCTAAGGCAACTTGTGAAAAAGAAACGACATTGTGCTTTTACAACGCGCTCAAGCTGGTCAGTGACAAACCATTTTCTCGATTCGCATAATGCATTAAAAGCTACAAACTAATCCCAGGGGCTACTTTTGTGCACCACGCGAAACAAAAACAAACAACATGATTAAAACTATCCAAGATGAGTTATAGGTTGCGCACACGACACTACTACGTCTTTAACTGACGTGATTAAGCGTGTTGTGTAATGATACTGTGTTTCTTTGACTTTGCAATACTTTATATTGCTTTTCATTAAGATGGATTATAGTGTGGTTATAAGGGTACAATAATAAATAGGTAAAGCCACAAATGAATATTTGTTTTCACTTTTTAAAACGCAGAATAATAAATTAATGTCAAGGCATATTGCAATAAAATCTTTTAAGGACGTCATTGCTCTCTCCTTTCTGTAAATCTTCGGTTTGACAGTATACACAGTATTTTAAAAAAAATAATGCACCTTTAATCTTTAAACCAACACTCCTCCTTTCTTTGGATCTGTTTAAAAAATTAATATTAACATATATTAAAATCTTACCGATATTAACCTAAAATTACAATTCCTGTAATGAAATTATGTTCTCTTATAACACTATTGTAGAAATTTGCTGGTGATTTTGCTCAGAAAAGCTCTGAGATCCCTTCCAACTCTTTCATTCTGTGATTCTGTAAAAATCAAATTTTTCTCTGCCTAAAATATCTCTCAGATTTCAGGAATTAACCTTTGGAAATGATTGTGTAGTGGAAATTTCTGCCAGATTTCAGGAAAGCTCACCAGTGCCTGCTGGAAACCCTATGAGTCTTATTATCTGTGAAATTATTGCCTACCCAATTCCATAATGGCTGTGGCTAGCTTTATAAAGTGAAAAGGAAACAAGGCTATATGCAAAATGAACACAGGATTATATAAATGCAATCATCTGGTGGAATAACATATCATATTTGAACATTATCCCCCAGCTAAAAGATGCCCACTGAAAATATAAGCATGGGGAAAATGGTTTAGAGAAAAAAAGGAAGATTCCATTAAGATCTTGATGGAAATACTGTTCCAAAGAATAGGTGCAATGACAGGCAGCTTGCTTCCTGGTTCCCGCTACATTATATTGTTTAATTGATGGGACCCAGAGCAATCTGACTTTGTTAGAACAAACAGGATGGGCAGACATAATGCAAGACAGATGATCCCTCAAATAAGCTAAAATCTTATATAAGTGCCCAGTGCTTTTTTCCTTTAAAAAAAAAAAAAGGTGCCAGAACTCACACATGTCATACAACCCGCCTTGCCTACCCTACAAGGTTCCATCCAAAAAAGGTGCCGGAGCTCCATTCTGGGCGTTCTATGAGAAAAAAAGCCCTGTTAGTGCCCCCCCCCCAACCTTTTGGGCACCAAGGACTGGTTCCATGGAGAGAGGTTTTTCAGCAGACCAAAGGGGGCATTTCATGTGCTGCCTGCATCCCACAGATGGGGCTTCACTTGTTTGCACGGACCTATTTCTGGCATGCTGCAGATCAGTACCCATCCATGGACTGGGGATTGGGGATCCCTGCCTTATATTATCAACACCTTGAATTGTATGTAAATCTTGACAGCAGATAGAGAAGCTCATGAAGAGACTTACCTATAATTCAAGGTGCTGATGATCAGCTACACTTGTAGAGCAGGGCAGCTAGCCACCACAGAGATCTCCACAGAGCAGAATTACTATTCATTTCTCTGGACTTCAGAGTTGTGACTGCTGCAGCACCCAAAACACAGTTAAGTAAATTTTGGACAAGGCAACACCTCCCCCATCAATCAAGCAGGTTTTAGTAATTTGTCCATTTTCTCTACAATTAAATTGTGGAAGAACTTGGACTCTAGTGGAGTTCCCCAAGGCCCTGTAATTGTTATTTGGGGATTCCTTTAATAATGTGACCTGGTTTCCTTTTGTTGTTTTGATGGTTTCCTCAAATTTCCACTTTTTTAATTTGTGAAAAATCCAAATGGGAACATCTTGGAGAGCTGTCAGAATTTTGCAAGATTGAGCAATCTTATGAAATCTAAACAAATCTTAATTTTTTGTAAAATAAATATTTTAGTGCTCAGGCCACTATGTAATGTTTTATTTAGCTGTCAGAATTTTACAAGATTGAGCAATCTTATGAAATCTCAAAAAATCTTAATTTTTTGTAAAATAAATATTTTAGTATGAACCAGGCCACTATAACCTGCTGTGGTTAAACCATAGTTTAACATGTTTTCTTAGGTTATGTTGTCAAATTAGACCTTTACTAATACAAATATATAATCCTTGGACACCAGGATCAAAGAAATTCACGTTTCCATCAAGCAAACTTGTTATTCTAAGCTTCAGTTTTTATTTTTTTAAAAAAATGT